GGGGCCCGTAAGTGACCAGAAGAGGGTTCTATTTCCATTGGTCATTTAGGACCCTCTTCTGGTCACTCAGATGCCCAAAGAAAGTCCAGACATTCAGGAGTGACTGAATTATTTCAGTCCATATTTGATTCATAACACACCTCTGTCCAAAATGTTTCATGAGAAAAACTTTTCGGTGTTTTCTGACTGAACTGTTTTAACACAACCATGAACTTATATGCAGCACAATAATTACAAAAAAACCACTTCCAATTTCCAAGATCAGTTTTTGATCTTTATATATAAGCGTACTGTAAGCAGTCAAACCTTTTGGGAACAGTGCTCAATTGGGCACTATAATAAGGAAATTGCATGTTTTCGATGCACTAATGCACATTCCATGAACTAGGTTATATCAGTAAACCCCACATGATTGTGTTTCAGCCAACAAGTACAATGACCACGAAGAGGTGTGTTAATTATGAATTTAATTGTAATACATCCCCCACAGATTGCGCATTTTGATGAGCCAAGAGATAATCACACGGCATTTGCTAGTTTTACTGTCTTGCTGTGTATTGCCAAAAAGTACTATACCTGGAGCAACCAAAATACTTCAGCAACCAAAATATTGTACCTGTAGCAACCAAAATACTGTACCTGTGGCAACCAAAATACAATACCTGGAGCAATGAAAATACTGTACCTCTGGCAACCAAAATACTGTACCTGTGGCAACCAAAATACTGTACCTGGAGCAACCAAAATACTGTACCTGTGGCAACCAAAATACTGTACCTGTGGCAATCAAAATACTGTACCTGTGGCAACCAAAATACAATGCCTGGAGCAACTAAAATACTCTACCTTGAGCAACCAAAATACTGTACCTGTGGCAACCAAAATACTGTACCTGGGGCAACCAAAATACTGTACCTGTGGCAACCCAAATACTGTACCTGTAGCAACCAAAATACTGTGGCAACCAAAATACTATACCTGTGGTAACCAAAATACTGTACCTAGAGCTACCAAATACAATACCTGTAGCAACCAAAAAATTATGCCTAATAAAGAAATCCTCCCCCAAAACCTCCCCCAAACCAAAAGCCCCAAACCTCAAGTCCCCAAACTCAAACTTGGAAGGACTGTTCTGTTGTTAAACCTTCAGCCCCAGCCACTTGTGAGGGCGGTTACCGTGTGGGTGAGCATTGGCAAGCAACC